GCCACTCTTGTAGGTTTAGGTCACAGATTATATGTCTGAGTCTTTATTTTTCATATGTAATTTAAAAGCAAGCTTTTTTTGTAAAAACTTCAATTGAATTTCAATAAAGTTAAAGGCATGACCTCATCATTAATATTTTTTTTTTAAAAAAAAAAAAAATTCTACTATGCTTTATTTTAAAGTTTTTCTTTAAGTATATTAATAAAATTACACAAGGTACTACTTGATGTCAAAATGTGTTTAATAATATTATTTAAGCTTTCAATGTGAAAAGTTGTTTAAATCCCAGCAATAAATATTTTTGATATAAATATACAAGCCTATATTTATTTACTAAGATAATAGGTTCTTATTAAATAATTCTTAATGTTATTATATTTTGTAATAAGTTGCTCTTATATTTCATAAAAAAGCTATTTGTATAACAGTATTAATCAAATGTGTAAATGAACATTCAGTAATGTAAATTGAATTCACACAGTAGTCACACATATATAAATTTAGATTTATACATATATTAGTGTATATAGCATATGTACAAAATTTTTTATATATATATTTTTTGTGTTTGCATGAATAAAAATTTTTTGAATTTATAACTCTGTGAACATTTTAAGACAAATCTTGCTTAAACTTACAACTATCTCTCTTGTTGAAATATAACAGGTTTGATATGAAATCATAAAGGATCATAAGCTAGACAATATGGTTTTAATCCTGTTGAGGTTTTGTTTTTTAGGCTTTAAACAATTTTGTTACTTACTTTGTCAATATAAATATCTTTGTGCATATTACTAATCACCCTAGATCAGTTTTCTTTTACTTACTAGTATAATAGAAGATTTTAATGAGCAAACTCTAAATGAAGAATTAGTTACAACAGAATATAATACTGATGATATTAATATTGCCACATACTTTGAAAAGTCTTTATGGTATAATAAAGAAATAAATTACTAATACAGCAACTAGGAACTAATAACTTTAAAAAAAGGTAACTCTTTTGACAATTTTGATGAGACTAAACTTCATATACAGCAGTTTGCTAAATACAAAGAATTTAAGATTAGACATGGACATGTAATAACAATAAATACTGCAGAAAATAAAAGACAATTCAAAAATAGGCAATTCTCTGCAAGCATTCAGTTATATTCAAGCCAAAAAATGTTGGAAAGGCAAGTACCTCAGCTTAATTATTATGCCTATAGCATATTAATCTGTCATGTTCTTTAAAAGATAACCCTGAGTTTTGTGTTATTGTTACTACTTTTCATAATACACATAATTATAAGCAATTATCTGAAGTAATAGAATTTGAAAAAAGAAAAAAATTCTAAGAAGAAATGCAACAAAAAATTAAGTTTCTTGTTGCAAAATGTCACTTTGGAGCAACTATAGTTCAACATATCTTGAAAGAAAAGTTTCTACTTCATCTGCTGTTTTCTAAGAATTTGTATACTAGGATCCAACAATATCAACTATCAAATAATATAATTAAAAGTGATGCATCACAGTTTTATAATAAGCTATTGTCAAAACAACAGAAGAATACTCTATAGTTTGTTGAAACAATGTGAAAAGTGAAACTAATATATTGGTTAACTTGTTCTGAATAAGTCTAAAACAAATTTTGTTATAGTGTGAATTTAGTAATGCAATTTGTCATGATAATACACCAGGTACCAATAGGTACTATATACACTCTCTTTGTTTGTAGCTCAAGATGATAACATAAATTCATGGATTATAGCTCAAGTATTAGTTAGTAATGAATTAACAAAAACATACCAATAGGTACTTCAAATAACTAAAAAGACAACTAACAATAGATATTTTCATATAATTGTAACTGATAGCAATCTAGCAATAGAGCATGTAATAATTTTGAAGTATTCAAAAACACAGCATTTATTTTGTATTTGGCATATCAAAGAAAATATAAAGAAGATGCTATGTAGTAAGTTAGATAATTTATTTGATGAATTTATAATAAATTTTAGCAATGTTAAAATACAGAAACATCATAGGTTTTTGAATTATATTGAAATTCACTTTTATGCTTTTCATCTGCAACATTATATCTTGATCATTATTTTTATGAATGTTGACTTTCTTAGATACATACTTTTACAATAATAACATTCATGCTCAGTATTCAATCAATATTGTTTGTTGAAGGCCAAATGATGCATCAAACAGGTATTAGAAAACAGCAACACATCAATTTGTAATTTAGATAAGGTTTTTTTTAATAGAATGAAATGAAGAAAAAAAAATAAAAAGCAATTGGAAAAATTAAAACATAGCAACCCTTTTATAATGAATACTGTTACTATTTTTTCTACAATTGAATTATTAATTAAGCAATATTTAAGGTCAAATGTTTCATGTTTTTTAATAAAGCAGATAAAAGAAAATTTTATTATACTTTTAACCAATCTTCAATTAAATAAGTTGAATTACTTGATGCAAATCATTAACTCTTCATAACAATCACTTGTACCTAAATTCTCTAATAATAAACTTGCAATAAATAAATAATTTATTAAGTAAATCTTCTTTGGCTTCTAAGTAAAATTGTTCACACCAGAATTTTATATATAGGTAACTTAGTTTTATATCTCCTGGACCTCTGTATAGTAAGATTTATTTATTAAATTGCAAAATACTTTTTCTAAAATTTTCAATAATTTATTAAGCTAATTTTAGTTTCTTTCTTATAAAAAAAGACAGAGCTCACTTAGAGCTTTATTTTGATATATTATACATCAATATTGGATTAATATTGAAGGTTTTATGCAAAAAATCTTTAAAACTCCTTTACAAAACTTTTGTACTTTTTTTGCAAAACATTTTTTTGTTTTTTTGAGAGGTCCTGTATCCTAGGATGCCTAGCACTTGCAGATCACTACCAAAAGTCATACAATTAATTAATTTAACACAAATTTTAATCTTTTCTATTTTTGGTTCAATCAACTATCACAAAAAATTTGGTTAACGTCAATCATTGTAACCACTTAACCTGCACATCCTGTGTCACTTATTTGTCACATACTCTTATTTGTCATACCCCATTACTCATCACATCCCTTATTTGTCATATCCTCTTATTCATCACACCCTCTTATTTGTCACACCCTATATCTTTCAGATCTTTTTACACTTAGGATCTCTATTATTTACTCCATTTTTAATTTTTAAGCTTTAAACTATGCCTATCTTAGTTACTGAAGACCCTGACTTCTATAACATTGACTACTATCATGGTAAATATAAAGATCACCATGGTATAGAAATAGTCAAAGAAAAATCTTAATCCTTACATATACTTTTGACAGATGTTAATCTAATTAATTGTGATACTGCTAAAAAACATCATTATTTCAAAGGTTCTCAACAACCCATTATTGACACATGTCTTTGTAGAATATACCATACTAGTTTTACTTCTCAGTTCTACAGAATCTCTCATGTTACTTCTCTTGGACAATCTATAACTCAAACTACTTCTATTATTTCTGTTGGCCATTTTAGAAAAATTTCTGATGAACTACCTCAATCACCTATTCCAAAATATCAACAATCTGATTAATCTTCTTTTAAACCTCATATGCTATTTTCTAGTTTTCAAATAGATTCTACACTCTTTGCAATTGTCGCACATTCTCAATACTACCATACATATCTTATATATAGAACTAAAAATATCCCTTGTGTGGCTACAGAACAATGCAGTTATGCTATTGATTATGCAGTTTGTACAATTTTTAAACAAAACTTAATTCATAGACTTTGTATTCCTGGTTTATTGAATATTAAACTTAAACCATTAGCACAAACCTCCTCTCTTACATTCCAACAACAAATAGTTATAGCCTCAATCAACCCAAACTTATTAGTTTAAACACCCAAGCTTCCTCTTTTAATTCTAAAAAACAAATTATTCCTTCTCTTATTCTTAAGCAACAACTAATTCTTGCTCTTATTAAAATCCAACAAATGAAAGCCAATGAAAAAATCCAACTTCTCAAATCCTTTCTTTTAAAGAAAAAAAAAAAAACAACAGTATTCCAAACAACAAAAACAAAAGAAAAAAGAAAACCAAAGAGATACTAACAATGATCTTGACTGGTTTAAAGAATATTCAGTAACTAACTCAATGAAAAACAACACTAAACTTAATAACCCTATTGCTCAACAACTTTTTATTTTTATTAAACCATACCTTATTGATATTTATTTAGAAAAATTTATCCAACTAGCATCTGACAAAACTTCTGAATCAAAACTCATTTATAAATATTTAGTTAAAACTTTAGCAGGAAAAAGACCTAAATTTTTAACTGATCTTGTTTATAAAGCAAATCCTTCAATCGATAAATCAATATTCATTCTATTCAAACTAATCTATTCTATATTTATTTCCCTTTTTCAAGCATTTACTACAACCCTATTTATCCAACTTAATTATCCAAAAATCTTTGCCTCTTACAGTTCTATTCTACTACTAATCGAAAACAAGTAGCTCTTAACTTGGCCTATCTACATCTTATTCCTTACAATAAATACAAAACTATTCATGCAAAAAAATTTCACAAAGATCTCAAACTTTATCCTATTTACTTCAAACTTCACTATTATATTAGTGAAGATAATATCAATCAACTACTTTTCAAAATCCAAAATGATGATAAATTCAATATTAATATCTCTCTCAATATTTCTAAAAAACAATTCCTTCATATATTCCAAATTTCATTCTTAAAAAATCACTTAACTGAATTCAAAACCTGGTTTGAAAATTTTTTAATATTTATTTATTTTTTTTTTTTTTTGGTATTAAGGTGAGGTTTTGCCTTTATCTTTATTAATAATTTGTTACAGGCAACTACATGAG